TTCCGGAGGTGACACTTAAGCTGACTCTTTAAAGAGGAAAGCAACTCACCAGGCAAAGAGAGGACAGTTTGAGCAAAAACATGAGGCAGAAACAGCACCCAGTATGCCTGGGAACAACAGGCCATTTGAGGTAGAGGGAGAGGCAGGCGATGGAGCTGGAGAGGCCGGGAGAGGTCACGACAGGGAGGGTCTTCTGTGTCACACTGGGGAGCCTGCCACTAAGGGCTGAGTCTTTTACATAACTTTGCATGGTGGCTGGCAGGGTGCATGCCCGCCTCAGCACACAGCAGGTATTATTAGATGATGATCATGAGAGATAAATCTGAGAAACCGCAAAACTCTGAGCGAAGCCAAAATCCCTTAGGTTCCGAGGTTCCAGAAAGTTATCCGACTCCTCTGCCCCTTTGCAAATTCAGCTGAGATGTGTGGCAGTGGTGGTCAGCCAGCCCTGAGGTGCTGCTTTCTCGGCAACTGGCTGAGCCTCTAGACTTGCATCTGTGGCTGGAGCATAGTAAGGAGGGAGAAGGGGAGAGCGTGAGTGAGACAGAGAGGAAAGACAGCACTAGGGGACAGGAAGTCACGCTGAGAGACACAGCCACAGTGGGGCTCAGATTGAAGGGATAGATCATAAAGCAAGAAGATGATTTCTGGTGTCGAGAGGAGAATTACATGCTTTCTCCCAGAAAACTCTGCAAATACTTGGTGACCAACCAGACCACAAAGCCGTGCGTTCAGGGGCTCCCTCCCTCCCCATCGTAGGGGTCTCTGGGAGTGGGGCAGTGTCTCCAGTCTAAACTCAAGCCAGGATTCAGACACATATGGACAATGCAGATGGGCCGGCCCCAGCAGAAGTCTATTTGTCTGAGGGGTTGAGGGGTCTCCAGAAAAATAATCCACATGGAAGGAAATGGGAATACCACCTGATCAGCTCAACCCATAACAAGACTGAGTCCTTTGCAGGTCAGGGAGTCTGCAAAAACTTCAAATGAGCAGATCACCAGGGCATGAGTAGTACTGGCCAGGTATTTCTTTCACAGGTATAACATGAAGACAGGGGCTAAGGTATTCTTCCTGGCTTTGAAACAGAACATAAAGCAGCTCTGGCTCCTTGAGGGCTTCAGGTACTGAGCTGTAGTGAGAAAGGGAACACGCCTGGGCTGCCCAGCAGGAGGTGGAAGGGCTGGAGAACAGGGTGAGCCACACAGGTGCCTGGCAGTGTGCCCAGGCAAAAGCAGTCACGTGCTCATGAACATGTGTGAGACATGCTCTGGAACTGCAGAAATCTCTCGGGGGTGATCTGTAGTGGGGTGAAGTTCCACATGAGTTGGAAGAAGGAAGAACGAGGGAAATGTGGATTATGACTATTAATGGCTCCCACCGTGTAAGCGGGTGAGGCCTGGGAGAAGTTGAGTTCCACTAGGAAAGTACAAAGTTTAGGTTTCCCCAGGGAATCGCTAGCAAGCTAATGCTGGCTCATCCTTGCAGAAGTTCTACCTGGACACTGCTGATCAGTTGAAACTGTTTCTCTTCAATTCTCCCTCTTGTAGCAAGTTTATGAGCTGCAAACGTGCCTGTTTGCTCAGGCCTAGGGCAGGAATCCTTCCTAGATCCTCATCTCTACAAGTGTCCTTCTCATGCTGATTAAATCCCGTGAGCAACCTCTGTCACTAAAAACAGCAGGCAGGTGCCTGTCTGAGCAAGATGGGGTGGAGATACAGGGAGGGTTCCAGGCCGCTGTGCCAAGCTCACACAAAGACAGACCTTGAGACAAAAGAGACAAAGATGCTAAGCACAAACAGCTATTTTGTTTTCCACCTTATCGTTTTCCGTATTTTCCAAATTATCTATAGAAAGAGGCAAATGCTAGCTTTTCAAAACCGAATGTAAAAAGTACAAGTAAGCTCAGCTTTTCACAATCTACATGGATGAGGCGTATCTGGGTTTTATGTGCTTTCCTTTTGGTCACCCCTCAGGCATTTGATCTCGATTATGTAACACACAGGAGTCACAGAGAGCAACCACCTGGTGTGACGGAGGGCGTTCTGCCATGCAGATGATGCAGAAGGTTGGTGTGGCTAAGCACTGCCAAATCTGACAAACCTGTATTTTGTGGCATCCCCCTTGGGGATAAGGACCCTGTTGTAGAAGGAGACAGACATGAACATATTTTCCTACTCACCTCCACTGGATCTTGGCTCATCCAGCGAGAGTGATTGACAATCCCCAAAGGCTGTTGGCCAACTATTTGCAAGAGGGGTCCATGGAGGGAGGCCTCTTCCACCTGTTACTCTTTTCTCTATCACTTCACATCCATAGGGGTCCCTAAGCCCCAAGAGAAGGGTCAAGTACAAATCTGGTAAGCCAAGAAGACCTAGCAGTTGTCAACTTAATTAGCCTTCAGGAAAAATATATGGCTATATAAGCACAGTAAAGTTGCTATAGAGACAGGCAGAGGAGGTGCATTTAGAACAGGGCCTCATCGCATCACCCGATAAAAATAAGACCCAGGCTTTTTAATAGCATGAATTACTTAAGTTTTAAATTTAACAGGGGACGACACCAAGGCACTCACTGGTTTTCAGAACATTTGAGGAATCTGGGCTGCCTGCTTCTGCATATGTTAGCAGCCATCACAACATATGCTCTGGCGGATGGCAGTGAAGAGCTGGAAGCCCACGTGTCTCTCCCACCCCCTGGGATAAGAGATGGTCTTTCTCACTTTGGTTTGTCCTCTTAATTGGGTGAGATTTTCGATGTGTTTCAGGAAAATTTCTGAGAAATAGCTCTACCGTGCTCTGCACTGTGCCAGTCGCATGTATTATTGCGAGTCATTGTAACAAGCTTAGGAAGCAATGATCTCATTTTGCAGACGACAAAATAATGAAGCTCAGAGAGATGCAGAACTTTCCCAAGGTCACGGAGCCACTAAATAGTGGAGTTGAGATTCAAATCCAGGTGTCCCCATTCCAAAGCCCATTGCTTTATGAGACATGAACCACAACCTCTGCACAGAGAGGAACCCAGGATGAGGTGAATCTAAGAAGCTTTACCATTTTTATTGGTATATGGCATGGACCTTGTTATAGTTTAATCTCTCTCCTAAGGCAGTCCCAAAGTGGATGGGTTCCAAGAAACTCCACAGAGATTCTGGGCTCTACTGGTGAGCACCTCTCCAATTATCCAAGGCAAGTGTTAATTTCAGACTGACTTCTCCTTACCATCCAACATGTTTCTGGACTGTCTCTTCCCTAAGTGAGGACCACCAGCATAATTAACACAAGATTCCAAACATCACTGAAAAAGTGTCCCCACTGCTCTTGCATCCATGAAAGCTTAACTATATGAAACTCCGCTGGAAATCCAAAGTGAAGTTCTTTTTGTTGACAACTTTGTCTTCGGATTATTCATGAACCTCTTACTTTGCAGGAGGATTTTTAACAACAGTTTTCCAACAAAGGCCTACATAGTAGACTCAATCTGAACCTCTAAGGCATCATCTTTCCTTGTGGGAAACGGCAGTGCTGGTGAGATGAGATTGGGTCTAGGACAATGGCAGTGGAAGGGAGAGGAAGCCAATGGGGAAGCCAGGGGCCCGTGGTGACATTAGGAACAAGTGGTGCCTATGTCCCTCCCCATTCAGTTTACCAGCTGAGGGTCATGACAGATGTCTGGGCTTCACAGGATCCGAGAAGGCATGTCTAGGGCAACACTGAAACACATGGCTTGACAGAAATTTGAACCAAAGCATCGAACCCAGTGAACGGGCAGAAGGGCAGAGAAGGCAGGTAGAAGCCACAGACCAGAGGCTGGGACCCAGGGCACAGCAGAAGGTTTAGAATCAGAGGAAAGGTGGTGGTGCCTCGGTAGAGTCCTTGGGCCGTGGAACTCACCCCAGGAGCTTTTTCAGGCTACCTGCAGCCTGCAACGTGGGTGCAGAGTGTGGCTAAGGGAGCTGCCTGCTGGGACCAACTCTACTGCTCAGGACGCTCAAATCCATCTGTATGCCACTGTCATCACCCCCCACACACTCCTTCCAATCCCTGCACAATCAGCACTAATGTCTCACCAACAGATTAAGACCTGAACGGAAGTACAAGAAACAGGATTTTAAACTCAAGTTAATTCAATTCCCCAGGTGACCCTTGTTAACTTATTCACCCTCAGAGACATATTAACTGTTCCTTCTTATATCGTATAGCAATTTGTGGGGTGGGTTTTCTGGTAGCTTAACATTTTTTTCTCACTTCAGTTAGACATGTAATCTATTTAAAAGTAATATGGGAAAAGGAAAAATGAGTGTAGGAATAACTTCCTGGCAGAAATACTTTACTAGTTTCTGAATGTAATATCAGCCCAGCAAAAGTTACCTGCAAATACAGAAGTTATCTGCAAATACATGTACATCAAAGACACTCAAGTTTTTTTTTAACAAATGAATCATTTTATGCTACTGAAATCACTCTGTGATGTGCTATTGGCATTTAAGGAGCTAAACAGACTCTGTGGGCCAGCCAACTTCTACTGAAAACGTTAGACATGCACAGGCTTTAGACTCAGGCAAACCTTAGAAGTTCTGGCTTTGCTACTTATTAGCTGTGGTAACTTGGGCAAGTCATTTAACCTCTCTAAGCCTCAGCTTCCTCATCTGTGAAATGGGAATAATATCAGTCACATGCCAGGGATAAATCCAGGGAGGAGAATGGCCAGGGCGCTACGTCAAAGGCCAGACACTACTTCCACCCCAGGTGGATGCCGGGACCAGGACAGTGAGCAGGCAAACCTTGCCCTTGCCCTCCCTCCCTCCCTCCACAATCTTAAAGCTCCTTGAACAACCCCCATCCCCACCCGCTGAGAATTTCCGTGCCTTCCTGCTGAAAGGGTTTGGCCTTTCGGTGTTCCCCTCCACCAGGAGCTGTTTCCATGCAAAGCTCTCGAGGGTGACTTGCAGGCTACGGTCATCAGCCTTTTCCCATCCCTGCCTCTACCTACTGCCCTCTAAATAAGGAAGCCAGCGCTGCCAGGCAAAGAACTTCTGCCCAATATGGGTCCTGGGTGGCCTCTCGCCTCTCTCTTTCCCTGGGCCCCCAGCCAGCTTCCCCCCTCCCCCAGAGATGCTCCCTGCTCACTTCATTCCTGCCTCATAGTTGGAATGACAGTGGCTCCCAGAACCCCTGGGGAGCGTGGAGGGTGATGGGGGTCTGGAGAGGCAGCCAGGCCCAAGAGCAGGTTAATGTTACAGCCCTGGATAAGTGAGCCGGGCGGGTTGACGTCAGGGTGATGATGGGTGGAGGGGAGGGCCGGGCTGCTGAACCAACTATAAAGATAGGTCAAATCAAATATCATCAACTCGGGACGGAGCAAGCGGGCGAGCTAGAGAGCGTCCCCGAGCCATGGTCTCTACCGGCCGCGGCTCAGCCTGGGTCCCTCTGCTCTCAACCCGAGTGCCCGATGCAGGCTTTGGTTTCATGTCAGCAGCCTTCATCTGCCTTCCAAAAATAAGCCCCTGCCGCCATGCCGGAGGGAGAAAAACAAGAAGGGCGGTATTTTTAGGGCCATTAATTCTGACCACGTGCCTGAGAGGCAAGGTGGATGGCCCTGGGACAGAGGCTGTTCATCACTATGTCCCGGGGAGCAGGACGTCTTCGGGGCACGCTGTGGGCTCTCGTCTTCCTAGGCATCCTAGTGGGCATGGTGGTGCCCTCGCCTGCAGGCACCCGTGCCAACAACACGCTGCTGGGCTCGAGGGTCTGGGGCACCCTGCTGTCCAGGTCTCGTGCCGGGCTAGCTGGAGAGATCGCCGGGGTGAACTGGGAAAGTGGCTATTTGGTGGGGATCAAGCGGCAGCGGAGGCTCTACTGCAACGTGGGCATCGGCTTTCACCTCCAGGTGCCCCCCGACGGCCGGATCAGCGGGACCCACGAGGAGAACCCCTACAGTGAGTGCCAGCTGCAGCCAGTTGGGACGCTTGGGGGCTTGGGCTCATGCCGGGCTAAAAGGTGAAGGGGCCATGCTCTAGTGGCCAGGATGCACTATAAAGGGGACAGAAATGCTGCTCACCACTTAGATGATTCCTCGTGACTCTAGCTGGGTGCAGGCTCAGTATACTGGGGTCCAAGCATCCTGGTGTTCCTTGCCATCACCTTGGTTAGATCCTCCGTGGCACTAACTATTTCAGCATTACTGGCCCATCTGATGCCTTGTAAGACCACTAGGAACCATTAGTCTGGGAAGCCCGCAAAGCAGGGGTAGGGAGAATGAGTTAGTATACTTGGATCAAATTTGACACAAGCTGATTTTTATTCAGCTTCTTTCTTGGAGAAGGAAAGGAAATTCAATTGCAAAATGTCCAACTGGAGCACATCCGTCTTTTTATTTCAACGAGCTCCCTCTGTCCCCAGGTTCTTATCCTGCAAGTTGTCAGCTTGCTGTATGGTTAGTCTCCTATCCAAGAAAGGATGGGGGCCGCAGGATTTAAGAAAGCCATCAGCCATGGCGTGGCTGCTGTGTTTTCAAGATTAAGGGGGTTGAGATTTGTTGAAACATGTGGAGTACACATTAAGAATAGTAATAATCAGAATGTATTTTTTTACTCAAGTCAAGGACCTCAAGTAATTATGTCAATGAAAGCCCAGAGTCAAGGCTCATCTTAAATAGGTAGCTAAGTGGTCATTGCAGTCCCTAACTCTGATATCAGAACTTTCCCTTGCAGAACTGGATTTTTCACAGCACAATGGCAGCGCTTGGTGACTGCAGCAGCCAGGGTCCCCTAGAGTGAGAGGGATCGTGGAGGGGGTGATGGAGAGCCTGGCTTTCTAGGAGAATGGGGATGCACTGAGATGCCCTTGTCGGCTCAAGTTCCCACTGTGATTTGCACGAGCCTTAGGTAATGTGGCTCCCCTTTCCTTGTCAGGCCTGCTGGAAATTTCCACCGTGGAGCGAGGTGTGGTGAGTCTCTTTGGAGTGAGAAGTGCGCTCTTCGTTGCCATGAACAGTAAAGGAAGATTGTACGCAACGGTGAGTTCGCCAGGCCGGGGAAGTGCCAGGTTTACAAGGCTTGATGCTTACGCAGTTGAAGAAAATAGTATGAAATTCTGAGTAGAGAAGTGACTATCATCTAAATGGGAAAGGAAAGGCTGTTAAAAGGAGCCTGTGAAAGGGAGGGGCCTTGCAGCTTCTGCGTCTTCAGCCTCATGGGTGATTGTCCTCCGCTCTGGCCCGTGTTTCTTCTGTTCCCACCTGCCGGCTGAAGTCTGTGTGATTAAACAGAAACCACAGCTCAGGGAGCCCGTGGGCCAGAGGGAAACCCGCATTCTGGCATCCCGGCTTGCGGGCAGGTGTGATTCCCTGCATTGGCAAGGCCCCGAGAGCAAGCCTATCTCTCTGCCTGGGCGTGCTGCTCCATGGCACGCGCCCTGCAAGATGCCCCGGCCTAGTGCGCCGCAGAAAGAGCGGAATGGGAGGCTGTTTTCGTCCTCACCAGTGTGCTGAGATTCTGCGCTAGGGTTTTCAATCCTCTGCTCTCTGATCGTGTAAGCTGGAGAAGCAGCCTACCTATTACACCCCTTAGGCAGGTACCAGTTCCTCCCATTCCCATCCCCACGCCCATAGGTCACCCCTGGGAGCGCCAGTGCTGGTACTTGGGTTAATGCCACCAACTTCTAAGCACATTGACCAGAACCTCCGCTCTCTCACTGACCTACTCATTCCTGCAGCCCTCGGCCCATCGTTTGCCTTATTCCAAAATATGGTGGGCAAACATCCCTAGGAAGCTGAAGAAATGGAGGGTTCCTTTGACAGAAATAAGCAAGCTAAAAAGGAAGACCTCAGAGCAGGACTCAAAAAATATCAAAGTTATTTATAGGGAGGGTGTGGAGGGCTGATCTACTGCCCCTTGGAGGATAAACTGAGGATTGGGATGTGAAGAAATAGACCCAGGACTGGCACTGGGTCCCAGGGGGGGCCCAACATAGGAGATCTATGAAATACAAGAACAGGTTCACCAGGTGGCCTCCGTCCCATAATCTTTGGTGCTAACATCTCTCAGTCTGGGTTGGTTTATGTGGACATACGGCATGCATTAAAATCAGTGGGTCTCCCGCACGGGTCCGTGGACTGTTTGCATCTCTATCACCTTGGAAACTTGTTAAAAGCATGCATTTCCAGGTACCTACCTAGGAGATTCTTATTCAACAGAGCTGAGATGTGGGCCTGGAAATCCGTTTGTTTTTGTATTTTAAATTTGCCAGGTGTTTCTGAGGCATAGGCAGGCTTGGGGGACAGCAGGCTACATGGCCTCTGGAGGGCGGGGTACCACCCACTCCGCATGTTACACTGAACCTGAGAGCTGGAGAGTGGGTGAGATGAGACAGAAGAGACATGTCCTTGTTACTCTCTCTGGAAAAGTGGTGGTGAGGACAGGAAGAGGCCTGGGGCCAACCCAGGTTTTGGTGGAGCAGGTTCCCCCCGCCCAGAGAGTGCAGCATCCCAAACAACCCCTTCTTTCCAGCCTGCATATTGCCCGGGATCCCATAGGATCAGGAAAGCCGGGAATTTGGGCTGTTGGCTGTGGGACTCCATGCAAGCAAGGAACGTTTTTAGCAAGTAAGTCTCCTGGGAGAAAGCACAAATTTCATAAACTCTTCTTTCTCCTTGTCACCTTTATCAACAAGCTACTTACTACTATTTTCTTCGTACCCAGAAAGGAATTGAATTGTGGGGAGGAGAAAATGCACAAATAGAGAGGATATTTACCCACTTCCCACTTGAAATCTCTTGGCCCTGGAAGGAGAAGCTGGGAAAGGCTGGGGAAGGGAATATAAGATTTAACCATCAGAGAAAGCGCCACGAAGCGGGGAAGAGCATTCAGAATAGCAAAAGGGAAAGGAGGCTGACTCCCAATGCCTGAAACCCCCACCCCAGCCCCAGCCCTCACTCTGCAGCACTATTATTGCACCTCAACCTGCAGTTAAGCAGGTTGATGAACTGCTGGGCTCACTAAACGAGCAGAGTCCAGGAGAACCGGGAACTTCTGGAGAAAGGACCCCGCCCCCTTCACCTCTGCCCTCCCACTCCTCCTACCTTCACCCTCAGTAGCATTTGGCCAAAGAGCATCTTCTCCAGGTGGGGAGCTTCTCCTCCCTGGACCTCAGGGCCAGCCGGGCCTGCACACAGAGAGTGGGGCTGGACAGCTGTGCCCCAAGCCTGGGGCACCTGACGTTTCGTGTGGCTCAGGACCAGATGCTCCTGAGCGACTTCTACCCCTCCCTCGTTGCCCCTCAGAGGCCGTTATCACAGTCTAAAAACACAATTGCCGACTGATCCCGGAGCCAGGAAGACTCCCGCTGGGTGATGATTTCATTCACACTATTTCCCTTTAAGCCCTCTGAGCTGCCTCATCTCCCAGGCTCAGCTGCCACTGCCACTACATGGGACTTCTCACGGGTGGGGGAGGGAAACTGGGCTGGGGCTGAGGTGTTGATGAGGGGGACAAGGGAGCAACTCATGGGCAGAGAATAAGGGCCAAGGAAACCTGGCTAGAAGGGGCTTCACACATGTCTGTCTCCTGGAAAGAGGGGCGGGGAGGCTCAGGACAGTTTGCCGGGCCCCCCCTTTACACAATATAAACAGCTGCCGTGCCCTGAGCACTGGCCTACTGCTTGTGTCAGGCTGCACAGGCTGCACAGGGCTTTACGAGCATGATCTCACAGCACCCCTAGGAGGGGCATTTGATCTTCACCCTCCCTTTGCAGCTGCGGACACCGGGTCTCCAGGGTCACACGTCCAGCCACAGCTGTGTGCAGCCCTGTCTCAGGGCTCCGTGACCCGAGTTCCAGTTCCTGGCCGACCTACCCTCTAGCTACTTGTCTTACTTTGGGCAACGTCACTGAACTTCTCTGGGCCTGGACTTCTGCTCTCTCAGGATGAGGCAGAAATCAGTGAATTCTAGGCCCCCTTGGGTCCCCTTTAAAATTCACAAAACAAAACATCAAGGATTTCACCTGACAGTGGTTCTATCAGAATCCTTTGGTTGAGAAGAATACAGACTAGCAAAAAGATACCAGCAACTCAGTTATGCTTTCAAGTGATTTCAGTTTTACTAAGAATAACTGCATTTACATGCTTTTCATCAACAGTATGACAATGTGCAAAGGAGAAAGTTGATTTTCTCCAGAGACTTTTGATTAGTATCTGGGGCACTGCATTGCGGGAGGGGAGGACCAGCTTTGCCTTGGTTCAGCTGCCACTCTAGCAGAAAACAGCACTCCTGAGGGAATGGGACAAAGGACACCCACCATGAGGAAGTGCTGGGAGATGGACCCGGAGAGCAGCGGGAGGTGTATGCCCTTATGAGGGGCCTGAGGCCCTGCATACAAATCCCCGCCTGCTACAAAGAGCCGCACAGGAGTGAGAAGAATGAGACACCCGATGAAACACTTTCCAACATTCCTAAATCAACAGTGCAATTGTGCGCTAGGAAAAAGAGTTGGAAAATGCAGGCATCTTCAGAGCTGACGATATTTCAGCTAAAGACAGGAAAAGAAGCAGTCAGGGGCTGTAGAAGAAAGTCTTAGGACAAAGAGTTGGCTTATTTTTCCTTCTTGCCCACATCCTTCCACCCCATCCTTCTCCATCCAACCACTCCCAGGAGGAACAGGGGCAAATGGCCCCAGCAGTCACAGGATGAAGATGTTTAAAGACAGGATTAGCTCCTCATTGGTCCAGGTGACTTAGCTCTAAAGGCAAGAGGGTGGCTACATTGTCCACCTCACACTTTTAGAGGCATTTCTACCCCATGGATGTGCTTGCTCCTCTGCGAAATGCCCTTCTCCATAGCACGTGCCAAATGCACGTAAGTCTGAATGGACCTGCATGGAACTGAAGACATTGCCAGGCTGGGGCTCGAGGCCGGCAGGCCCAGGAAATGTGACCCAGTGGAATGATTTTCATTTGTCCAAGTAATCATAAACGGTAGCTGCTTTTATGAACATGGCGTTCACTTGGCTTGAGGGCGTTCTTCACCAGAGCTGAGGAGCTAACATTCCCAAGCCATGAGAACTCAAAAGCTCAGGGCTCTGATGAAGATGCATTAAGGGGCTGGGTCTTGAGCATCACTCTGGGCAGCAGGAAAATCCAGTCAACCTGAAGCATTCAGGGAAAATGCATGATCTCCCCTTCGTGCCACAGGTGGGGGTGCTGAGGGCGGAGAGAGAGCGGCAAGGGGAAGGTTAGGGCTTCTGGCACAAGCTTCATCTACCAGTTGTCTTTTTTCACTTTACTTTTGTATAGGATTCTGGGGAAGGCCAGAGATATGAGACAGGCTAGAGAAAAGAGCGGAATGGAAAGAAAAAAAAAGTCATAAACTTTAAAAAAAAAAAATACCGTGTGTATGTTGAGGGGGAGTGGATTTGAATGATCCAAAATCTAACGACCAGAGAAACAAAGTACAATCTATACATCCATGGTCACGCACGCTTAAACAATCATGTTTGAGGAGGCCCAGACGTTTAGAAGAGGCTGGGTTCTCAAATGGATACATTCTAGGCACTGGGAAGTGGGCAATGGCTTGAGAGTTTCTTGTCCGAGTCACTCAGTTCCTCCCACTTCCCCTTCCTCCACCTCAATATTTCATTTCCTCTCTAGAGCATGGAAACAACACATGAAACCTCTCCCTTAACCACCATCCAGATCAGAAATAAATTCTCTGGAACTGGCTGGGCGGGTTACTCTCCAGGGACATACAAAGTTAGAACAGAGGGGAGGCTGGTGGGTGGAGAGGGGCTGTGACCCAACAAGGAGGAGACCACCCGTTTCTGATCAAAATGTTTTCTCGCTCGTTTCCTGGCCCATCTGCTACCCTAAATTCCCTTCCCACTTTAAATAATGTACTTACTTGGCTAGGTAACACATGAACTTGTTTTAAGGAGAAAAGGTATCAGAATATTCTATGGAAAGTCTCACTCCTACCATTGTCTTGAAGCCACTGAGTTCCTCCCTAGAGGCAGCCACAGTTACCAGTGTATCATTCCAGTATATCATTCCAGAAATAGCCTAGGCACACATGCACACACTGCTATCATCTTTTTAAAATCACACACACAGGAGCATACTATGCTAACAGTTTTTCAAACCTTGTGTCTTCACTTAGCAATGTATCTTTGAGGCCATTTCATGTCAGTACAGAGAGGTTTCTTATCTTTTCAAGGCTTGTAGAATTCCATCATGTGGATCTACCGTAACTGAGTCAGTTACTCCTTTTTTTTTTGGAGACAGAGTCTCGCTCTGTCACCAGGCTGGAGTGTGGTCTCAGCTCACTGCAATCTCTGCCTCCCAGGTCCAAGAGATTCCTCTGCCTTAGCCTCCCAAGTAGCTGGGACTACAGGCGTGCACCACCACGCCCAGCTAATTTTTTATATTTTGGTAGAGATGTGGTTTCACCACGTTGACCAGGATGGTCTCAATCTCCTGACCTCGCGATCCACTCACCTTGGCCTCCCAAAGTGCTGGGATTACAGGCCTGAGCCACCTCAGTTACTCCTCTCCTAATAGAACATTGTTTTTGGTCTTTTGTTATTTAATACTGCAGTAACTTTTGTGCATGTGTGGGAATATATCAGTAAGATAAACTTCTAGAAGTGGGATTGCTGACCAGTTGCTATAGTCATCCTTTACTCTGGTAGATGCGGTCAAATTGGTCTTTATAGAGATTATAACGGTGTATACGTCGGAGGACATTAAATGAGAATTCCTAGTTTCTATGCCCTCACTGAGAGCATAGTGTCAAATGCTTTTCTCTTTGAAATCTGGCCACTAAACATGTGATCTCACAGTTATAATTTACATTTCTCTTATTAGGCATATTCTCTTCTGCTCAAATGCCATTGATATTTCTTTTCCTGGGAATCTTGTTTTATAAATGTTGTTCATTCTCTGGTGAGTTTAGGGTTCTGAATATAGTAACAAAATGTACTCTTTGACATGTGGATTGTACAGATTTTCATCCAGTTTGCCATTTCTGTTCTTATTTTATTTCAGGTAATATTTTTCAAGTAGAAGACTAATTTCTTAATTTTTTTTAAATGGCCTTAACTTTTTTTTGTCTTGCTTAGAAAGATGTTCCTGATTCTGAGTTTATTAAAAAAACCTTTTCTGGATTTTAATGGTTCTCTTTTTTACATTTAAATTTTTGCTCCATTTGGATTTATTCTGAGGTAAGGAATAAAGTCATACACACCAAACTTTATTATTATTATAATAAAATACCATTCCGTTGTTCCGACACCATGTTTTCTCTAGTGATTTAAAATACCACTTTTACTTTATGTTCATGTCAGATTCATTTTATTTTACATCCATGTATGTGTTGGGATCTACCGCCGGACTCTATTTTGCTCATTGACCTGTACTGGACTTCTCATTCACGTAGCTTTACTTGGAATGTTTCAATCAGTCCCCAGCTGAACTTTTCCTGGTGCTGCTGCATGCCCACCAACAAGGAAAGTCCTGTGACAGGTTCTATGCCCCATGCACAGGGCAAGAAACCAGGGTCTAGAGAGGCTCCTAATGAGGGGCTGTGGTTCAGAGCCAGCGCCAGCCTCTGCCCTTTCTCTCGCTTCCTGCTCTTCCATGCAAGCTCACTGTCTCCCAGGCACTCCGTCAAAAACCTCAGAGCTTAAAAAGCTAAATTGTCCAGTAACCCACAGCAAGTCTTCCGGGACCGGTGATCCAGGGTAAGGCAGTCTTTTGAGGCTTTTAATATAAAGTAGTTCATGATTTACTTGAAGAAGAATACCACAACTACTAATTTATTTTTAATTCTACTATATAGCAAGCATTGTTCCCAGGACTTTCCATGCATTATTTCAATTAATGCTTAGTCCAATTCTATGACATAATTTTTCTTACTGTTCTTGCTTCACAGATGAGGGAATTGAAGCTTTAGAGGTTAAATGATTTGTCCAAGTTCACATAGCTAAGTAAGAGGCCATTTTCATCAGTCTAACCTCAAAGCTGTGGCACAAATGTTTTTTTTCTTTTTGAGAAAGTCCCCCAGGCTGGAGTGCAGTGGCGCAATCTCGGTTCACTGCAAGCTCCGCCTCCCGGGTTCACACCATTCTCCTGCCTCAGCCTCCCGTGTAGTTGAGACTACAGGTGCCCGCCACCGCACCCAGCTAATTTTTTGTATTTTTAGTAGAGACGGGGTTTCACCGTGTTAGCCAGGATGGTCTCGATCTCCTGACCTCGTGATCCACCCGCCTCGGCCTCGCAAAGTGCTGGGATTACAGGCCTGAGCCACTGCGTCCGGCCAGTGAAGGAGTTTTCTAGCTTGTGTCCATATGAAAGGGGGCAGAAGGAGAAAGAGGGCAGAGGGGAGATCCTGGTGTCTTGGAGGACATTTGTAGATGTGCATTTGGTAGATATGTTTTCACCAGCGACTGTCAAAACAGAGAATGGGCCCTTTTGAGGGATAGAAACCTTGGGACTTAAACCAGGAAAGACAGACTGAGGAACCACAAGTAGAAAGAAAGAGACAGACAGTGCTGGAAAGGGCTTAAGAGATCCCCTGTGTCTCCTACCCCTCCACCAACCACCTCTCTCCTTCTTCCCCCACCACAGTCTGCAGAAAAGAGAACTGAGGCTGAAAGGGGAGGAACCTGCCCGAGGCCACACAACTAGGAAGTAGAAAAGTCACAAAATAGCACCCTGGGCTCTCATTCCTGCTCCAGTAGACTCCCTCTCACAGTGGACTTGAGAAAACAGCTTATTGTGTCATTTCCTGGTCTGTTCTTTGAATGGCGCAAGTTACCATCTGGGGACTTCGTAGAAAGTACTCTGGAAGTCAGGAGACCTGCGTGGTAGAGCCTCAGCTCTGCCCCGTGTGGCACAGACCATCATCCCCTGTGTCCCTGGGCCTTGGTTTCCTTATGGTAAAGGAGGGAAGGTGAGAGGAAACCATGAGAGCCTGCAGCCTCTTCCCATCCTAACCTTTCACCGTTCTGTCCACCCAGGATGCTCAGACCTCACAGTGGTTGTCTCACAAAGAGTAGGGAAGGGGCGCCTGGCAGGGGGGCCTACTGTGCGCAGCCCAGCTGGCGTCTGCAGCACTCCTCATTTGTAACCCAGTCTCTGCTGTTTGCCCATGTCTTTCGCAGCCCAGCTTCCAAGAAGAGTGCAAGTTCAGAGAAACCCTCTTGCCCAACAATTACAACGCCTATGAGTCAGACTTGTACCGAGGGACCTACATCGCCCTGAGCAAATACGGACGGGTAAAGCGGGGCAGCAAGGTGTCCCCGACCATGACTGTCACTCATTTCCTTCCCAGGATATAAGGACCCGCAAAAGAAGGCTCACGGATTTAAAGCAGCATCTGTTCTATTGGAATTTTGCACAAGCGAATAACTCCCCTTGCCCTCCATGGCTTCTGAGTCAGGTTTATCTCGTGCTTGGGGAGACCCCAGTTGTTTCCCTTGGCCACGGGACCCCACAGCATGTTGCCCATTTAAACCAGGGCTGCAATCAGCAACCTTAGAATGGCAATTTATCCCATGCTCTGACCTCCCTCCAGGAGAGAAGGTATCGGTGACACTTGTGGAATGTGACCATGTGCACAGGAAAAGGCCAGGGTAGGAGTTTGTGTGCACTGTTGTATATCCATACAGCTTTATATACATTATACATTCTCATAGCAATGGCATTTCAAAGCATCAGGTTTCTTTCTCCTAGCATCATCGCTGCAGGAATCTGCCTATAAGAATGTCAGTTGTCAAACCAGCAAGATTGATGTGTGCTCCCATTCTGCCTCTTTCCAATTATCTTTCCGTTCAGAGGCCACTAACTACATGGGTTGCACAGGTCAGCGGGGAGCAGCTGTCCTCAAAGGGCAGAGACGGCAGAGTGAGAGGGTGTAAGGTTGAACGGCAAACCAGAGAGTGATCAGGCACTTCAAGCTTCCTGCCAGTGAGGGCTCTGGGGACACTGGGATGAATTGTCAGGGAAGCTGGGGGAGAAGCGGTTCCCCTCTTGGAGGAAAGGGGTGGAGCAGCATCCAGGGCAGCTGAGGAAGGCTTGTGGAGGCAGCAGAAGGGACTGGATGTTCTAGGAGAGCCACTCTGCCTGGAGAACTCAGGCTGTGTGTGGCTCCAAGAACAAGCAGGGGCTAGGCTGCCTGCCCATAACGTTTCCTCACTTTGAACTGGTCTTATTTTAACCTCAGATGACAAGGATCCTAATAATGGCAACCTCTTTGGCGAGGGGTAGGGGGACAAACTAGGGCATGAAGGAAGTAGAGAGGCTTTGGACTGCAGATGGTAATTCCTCTCCAAGTATGTCCAGGAAACGCACCCAAGTTCTCATCTGATACCCTCACTTCCTTCTTGCTCATCCTCATCTCACATACGCGCTGTGCCTGGATGCGGCAGAATGGGCACCGTGACCTCCAGGCTTTGTGCTCTCTTCCTCCCTGCGGTAGAAGAGGAGTGATAATCCCGTGGAGTCAAGCAGCCAAGCTGAAGCAGCTCCTTGCTGCACAATGCCTTCTTGCCTCCTGTCCTTTGAGAATATTTAAAGCAGAGGTTCCCCAAGTGACTATAAATGTTGTCTGCCTGGAGCCTTCGGATTCCTGAACCATTGGAATGTTCCTAAATCTGAAACCAGAGAGAGCCGTATCAGAGTGCAAATATTTCTGGCATATGTGAACCATCGAGTTACAAAATGGCCTGACGCCCTCTGCGACTCTCGGGGGCCCCGGCCTGCAAGACAATCCCTCATCTGTTGCAAATACCTTCATCTTCAACATACCTCGCTATTTGCAGTTGCATCCATCTATAGATAGATCCGGGTTGAGGGACTCTGAGCTGAAGATGGAGGCTGGCAGTCGAAGGGAGAGACACCTTACTGGTCACCTCCTCTGCCCTGCAAATGTCAGGGAGGACATGTGCTGGGTGAGGAGGAAAAGGCCACATCCAGGTATGCAAAGATGGAAGAGAGAGTAGAAGCCCTGGAGCACGGCCGACCCTTGGATGTGGTAGAAAAGAGAGAGAAAACTGGTCCATCTTGAGTCTGTGGAATATTGAAGTGCAGGTCAGCTTGGAGGCAGGGATAAAGCTCTCCACTGTTTTTTAGGGAGTCTCGTCCAGTGCAATCAGTCTCTTGAACACGGTCGATCAGGAATGCGGGCACTCCAGACCTGAGGTGCATATCGGTTCCTAGTGGAGCTTGGAGTGTGGGATGGCTGGTGGATGGCGTGACTGTGATCCAGAGAAAAAAAGAAGAAAGACGTTTTAGGTCCCAGAGCATACTTTCCTTTCTTCCAAGATCTTTCAGCTCACATGGCATGAGAGGACCCATCTTCAAGAGAGTCCCCAAAGCCTCAGGGTGCCTGCCCTTTCCTTCAGGTCTCTAGAGAATCACAACGTTGCTCAAATCCTGGCAAGGCATTTCCCCAAACGTCCACTTCCATTTTTCATGCTAGGAGTGAAAAGGAGAAGCTACGAAGTGCCTACGGTCAAGCAGGCATGATACTGAGCCGCTGCACTGCAGTTGCACCAGCGCCGGTTATGAGAGGCTGCATGTCTGTCTAACTGGTACCAGGGCCGATGCTGTCTCAGTTGCTAGTATCTGGGGCTTGTTTGCGACAGGGTCTCGCTCTGTCGCCCAGGCTGGAGGGCAGTGGTGTGATCTCGGCTCACTGTAACCTCCACCTCCCAAGCTCAAGCGATTCTCCTTCCTCAGCCTCCCGAGTAGCTGGGACTACAGGTCCAGCTGATTTTCGTATTTATTTTTGGAGAGAGAGGGTTTTGCCATATTGGCCAGGCTGGTCTTGAACGCCTGGGCTCAAGCAATTCACCTGCCTCAGCCTCTGAAACTGTTGGGATTACAGGCATGAGCTACGGCGCCTAGCTGGTTGCTAAGTATTTTGAATACCACCTTTGGAGGCAGGTATGTGTGGGTGACGCTTTTAAATCCTTCCCACGCAAAGGAATTCTCTCAAGGGCTTTCTGTTTTAAGTGTCTTGGGTTTCAGAAAAGCCAATCCCCATCCACAGAAGTGAGTGAAGGGACAAGGCCAGAGTAAGATCAGCAGAACGCATTTCGGTCCCTTCTCTCCGGCTTCTGTTTCTGTTCCCCGGGCGTGGAGAGTTGTTTCCTATCTGGTCACGTGTCCACTGAGTCCTGAACTCAGCTGTCAGGCCCATTGGCTCCCAAAGGCTACAGAAGACACTGCTATATGCAGGGTAACCAGAGTGCACCCCACTTTCCCACTGAGGACGTACTAAGACTTGGGTCCTCCATCCCCAAGTGCTGAGCAATAAGCCTGGTTTATAGAGTTTTGTAGCTAATGCACCTCTCTTTCATCCTGAATCTTCTTTGGCAGCTCCATGCAAACTTGGAGTTCCAAGGGCCAAGAGGCTGTTTTGCTGTCTCTTCAAGAGCAAATAATAAAGAGGAGAGCAGCATATCTACACACCCTTCAAGATGCACTTCTCAGCCGCAGCTGTAGAGGTTAGCTTAGAAGCAATGCGGGAGCCCCAGGCTCCTTGTAAAACCTCCACCCTTTTCAGGGCAATGGATGAACCTCATAGGAAACCAGAAAACTCCAAATGCCTTGTTCAAGCTGTTGATTATGTTTGTTTCATCATTCACTGCCTTGTAACACCCCTTCCCTTCCCACTTCCCATACATTTTTGAACCTCTCTGGAAAGCAGCATACAATTTTGTAATTAATACCCTACCATTATCCTCCGCAGCCTTCCCCTCTGCCACCACATCCCACAGTACCCTAATATACATGCCAAGCCCTTGGTCAGGGCCAGTCTATGGCCTAACAAAAAGAACATTTTCTTCTGCCATCTGATTCAGGGTACAAACCTCTCCCCTCTTTAGACATATGGATATCTCTCCTGCCCAGAAACCCAGGCCTGAAATTCTCTCCTGACCCACATCGTGTCCTGGGCAGTTTGCAATTCTCCTTCGACACTGGCTCTGGGCCACTTTCTTGTCCTAGACCTCAGACCCTTCAAGTTCTTGTTCTATGCAAGTCCTGAGAGAAAAAAGAAATAGGAGAGTCCACGAGCTGCAGTTCTCCTTTCTCCCCTTGTTGAAGTCCATTGCCTTTCCCCATTCTGTGTCACAGTCACTGGTGAAAACATATCTACCAAATGCACATCTACAAATGTCCTCCAAGACACCAGGATCTCCCCTCTGCCCTCTTTCTCCTTCTGCCCCCTTTCGTATGGACACAAGCTAGAAAACTCCTTCATTGGCCGGACGCAGTGGCTCAGGCCTGTAATCCCAGCACTTTGCGAGGCCGAGGTGGGCGGATCACGAGGTCAGGAGATCGAGACCATCCTGGCTAACACGGTGAAACCCCGTCTCTACTAAAAGTACCAAAAAAAAAAAAAAAAAAAATTAGCCAGGCGTGGTGGCGGGCACCTGTAGTCCCAGCTACTCGGGAGGTTGAGGCAGGAGAATGGCGTGAACCCGGGAGGCGGAGCTTGTAGTGAGCCGAGATCGCACCACTGCACTCCAGCCTGGGTGACAGAGCAAGACTCTGTCTCAAAAAAAAAAAAAAAAAAAAAAAAAAAGAGAAAGAAAACTCCTTCATTCTTATATCCCAATGTTTTCCCTCAAAGACTCTGGGTCAGCTGTCACTGAGGAAGCATCCTCTGCCGCTTACCATGCCTGTGTCTATAAAGTGGGTCTCTAACACTTGCTCGTCCCCTGAAGAAAGCAGCCACTCATTCTGCTACCTCCCAGAAAATCTCCAAAGAAAGGAATGTTTGGGACAAGGCCAGAAGAATAGAGAGAAATACTCCAGTCTCTGCTTACATCGGAGTTGATGCTTCCTCTTCCCAGAACAGCAGGAGGATGCGATTATGCCCCAAGCAGGTCCTGAATCTGGTCCATCATGCAGATGGCCAACGCAGAACCATGTTTGTATACCTCATTGAACGACTGAAATTCCAGCACCAGAGAGCTGTGTCCTGCGTGGTTTCCTCTTTCTGTAAATCGCTAAGTACCTCAGGCTGGTCCCAGGGCACAGCTGCCCTCCAGCTTAGGCACAGCGCATAGCACACCCCAGATGCTGTTCAGTCATGTGATTGTGAAATGTGATACCTCTATTTTTTTAATATGTATGTGCCATGCACAAACCATATCATGTTCCAGCAAAAAGTAAAAGGTCTTTTTCTACATTTCTCTAAACTCTTTGACTCCACTCCTCCTATTAAAACTGACAACAAATCTCTGGGCTGTCATTGATTTTCATCTTGATTCTTTCCCCCCTTGCAGGAAGGCAGGCAAAGAGAAACCGAAAGCACTGATTCATGGTGCTTTTGATGATTAAGGCGGGAAGAAGTCCAGTGGCGTACTCAGTCCAACTGCCCTATAGCTTGCCAATGGGGAAATTGGCCCAGGAGGGTGAAGAAAGCGATGGGAGACCATCGCGAGGCAGC